AATAACGGTTGAAAAAATGTTAATTTATCGTAAATATTTTTTTAATGCAAGCAAGATAAATTCTGAATAACTCACATATAAAAATGACATAAGTTTGTGGTAAATTAAAGGACTGAATAAGAACACTACAATGTCCATTAATTCTCTAGACTAATCAAATATAGATCATTTTGAGTTAAAAATGATTATCCAAATACTCCGTATATGCTAAGTAAGTTTGCTGATATTGTTGAACAAATATGATGAATAGGTTAGGACAAAATAATGTATAAATTAAATGAAAATACTCGAAAAATGACGTCACTTTTTAGTAATTTTAATTAGTGAATGCATTTATGTTTAATTTAAAATACATCATACTTATAGTGCTAGTTATATTAAGGGAGAATTTGACTTTGCACCCCATGTTTTGGGTGATATTTGACTTTGCACCCTATTTTCAAAATCATTAATTTATGCACCCCAATTCACTATAAAATCATTTGACTTTGCACCTCACTCCTTCACAATTTTTGGGCTAATGGGGTGCATACATTAATGATTTTAAAAATGGGGTGCAAACTCAAATATCACCCAAAACATGGGGTGCAAACTCAAATTCTCCCTTATATTAAGGGGAAATCCTGTAAATTAGAGCTGCAAAAACATACTCAAAAATAGACAAAATTGAATTATGTGTCACTCGAACAGTAAATTAAATTATTATTTGAAAAGCTCTTCAAATGTTATGGTTCCTTAATACACGGACGGACTTACTAATTTTGACATGCGACAGGCCCACTTGTTGAACAATAACCACATGATGAAATTATGTGGCCATCGGCCCATCATAGTTAGTTACAAGCTTGGAAAATACAATGCTCTTAAATCTAGAAACTATTCACATTTGATTTCTCGACCAATTATTTACTATTTCCTGTCAATCTGGTTGATCTATCGTTTTCTTCGAATATCTAGACATGGCCTAGCTCTCAGACTATGAGTCATCACAATCAACTTAGTATGTTTTCTTTTGGACTGTTTTGAGTTCCAGACCAGATCAGACCAGACCAGACTTAAACAGACCAGACCAGATTTAACCAGACCAGACTTCCGTAGTTATAAAATACACAGAGACCAGAAGTTTACCAGACCAGACCAGTTCAGACCAGACCAACAAATTTCCGTCCAAAAGAAAACATCCTTAAAAAATATAGGATGTTTTCTTTATAATTTATAAGATACTCGTACATTTTCGTTCTTGATTTTTCTAAAAAATATGTTTACTTTCCTAAATGTGAGGTCAGTAACCATTCATTTTCCCACATCATTTTTTATCTTCATTTCAGTCTTTACTTTTTCTGTGTTCATTTCTCTGTTTTTTTTTTACCATTTGAAGGTTGGAATTGTTAAAACGTGTACCAAACTCACATACTCGGTATATCTTACATTATACGGAGTATATGGGATGAAAGGAATACGGAGTACGTTTTTGGAGTCCGAATGAATTTACTACCGCTGTGAACCATTCGATCGGAACTGGAGTGGGAATAGTTGTTCTTAACGGATTGGGATCCTCTGCCCGACTAGGACGGTGCCTTGCGCATCGGACGGTCGGGCAGTAGCAAAGCAGGTCTCGAGATTAGCGAAAAAGTGGAGCCCAAGATCTCCGACCGTTGAATTGTTGATCGAACGACCCGGAAGAAGCAAGGCACCCTACCTTACTTTAAAGTAAGGTAGAGGCTCCGGATCCGTTCTTAACCGTTGGTTCTTGCAGAAGGTTCAAGCCTTTGTATGGCAAACAGGAAGGCGGGGAACTATTTTTTGGAAAGTAATATTCCCTCCGTCTCATTTTACATGTTTTACTTTTCTTTTTGAATTGTTTCAAAATAAGTGCTATATTTCCTAATCAAGCATTCCAGCTCAGCTGTTTGTGAGATTACCGTGTCTAGTGGGAGGTCTCGAGTTCGAAACCCGCTAGACACATAAGGATTTGAAACTAGTGAGTTACAGCCCCGATTACTCCAGGCCCCAAGTCCCTCTCTCCAGACCCCTGGAGTAAAAGAAAGGGTTATATTTCCTTGAGCTGAGAAAGGTCTTTGTGATGCTGTAGTATATTCGGGGAATACCCTCTGAAATTGTAATTCCTTGAGCTGAGCAAAATAGTTGTTTACATTTCAACAAAAAAATATTTGGATATATAAATTTCCTCGTAAGAGCAAAGTGTCGACAGTGTGTTGGATAGACATCGATGGAAGTCAGAAAACGACTAATAATAATGACGTGTACGTGGCGATAAGTGTCCGAGAGATAATGCTGGCATGCTTGTTTCACTTGTTTCTACCAAAAGTACGGCGTGACACCACAATGGAGTTACTCTATATATAATCATCATTGCACACTTTAAACTCCATCTGGTTTATACTCTATTTAGCACTAAACTATTTCTTACTTCGTGATATGTAACAATTTTTTATTCGGAAAGAACTCTTTGTAATTTCAAAACATGTAAGTTGAACTCATTAACGCTGTTTAAGTTGTTTTTTCGTTAGCTAAACTATGTGAAATACGATTTGTATATTCAGAAACAACAAATCAATCGGGTATGGTGCAAGAATCAAAGTGATCAAAGATCAAATGAATAGCCAAAATATAATATATTCAACAAGTTTAGAGGTGTTTCAAAGTTGTATACAAATAATACAATAGTAAGTGGTGTTCAAGCATGTGTATAACATCTGTCATCCGTAGTACGGAGTATTTAAATAGACTAAATTTGGAGGAGTTGTCAAGCCGTTTCAAACAGTCCGACTAGTCAAGCATTAAACTTCGTGTGTTTTGTACTCCCTCCGTCCCATTTAAATACTTACACTTTTCTTTTGGGACGTTACATTTACTCCTTTACGTTCCAACTACCCTTCACTACCATACTCACCCACTTTTTACATTTGAGTAGATAACATTTATTTATTCCAAAAGTCAAAGGACATGCAAAATATTTGTTCTTCCATTAATTGAACTCCTAAAATACTACCGTGCCAAAAGCAAACGTCAAGTTCTATCCAGGACGAAGAGAGTATAAATTAAATTTGTAAGGAGGACATTAAGCATGTTTTCTTTTGGACTTTTTTCAGTCCCAGACGAGACCAGACCTGAATTCCGTAGTTATAAAATACAAAGAGACCAAACATTTACCAGACCAGACCAGTTCAGACCAGACCAGTCCAGACCAGATCAGACTAGCAAATTTCCTTCAGAAAACATCCTAATTAGGTACTGCAATTAATGTGCAGAACTGCGCATGCATGGATAAAGCATACGAAATAGAATATGCTATCAAGCTACTCAAATTCTCTGGCCTTTTTCATTTTTTTTGTGTGTGTAAAAAAACACAAACTACACCGTCTACACGTACGTACTCTGAATTCTAAGTGTGCTCAGAATATCCCATATTCCCATCCGTGCGCTTGTATAATTTGGTTCCAAAGAGGAAGATGCTAATTAAGGGAGCTAGGGGCTCGGGAGTTAGGAAGACACTAGAGGTCTAGATCAGAGGAGCTCAATCAATGAAAAACTTAAAATAAATGAGTAAAAATTTGAGTAAAACGTAAATGAATTTTTTTTTGAGTAAAACGTAAATGAGTAAAAATATATTTAAAAATCATGTATTTATAATTATCAAGGTCTGGTGAATTCAAGTCTGGTACAATGTTGTTTGTTTAAGTTTGGCAAATCTGTTATGATCTAGTTTGAGACTGAAATAAGTCCAAGTGAAAACATCCTTATCCTTATTTATAAATATTTTTCCTAGTTATGAATTTTATGTACATTTTGCACTCATTTTGAATCATTTCGTTATGTTTTTTCTGTTGAAAATGTGTTCAAGGACAGTCATTGATTATGTTTTGTGCTTGAATATTTTATGAATGTTAATCAGTAAATTTATCAACTTATTTCGTATTAATTATAAGAAGTTGTCTAATTTAGGAGTAGAATAATACGGAGTACTACGTAACATAATTAAGTATGTGAGTAATGGTTCTCTTTATTACTTACTAGTCTTTGAATAATGGTGTTAATTAGTAGGTTATTAAATATGTGATTTTAGTTGAAATTGTACACATCAATATAAGCCTAATACTATTGATACGGAATAGAACAATTTTTGGAGTATTCCAGCAGACTTCTTAAAAGTTACTACGTAAAACATTACCAAATTAAAATTGATATGTTAAAAATATAAGGAGATTTCTTTATATTGAAACATATAATGTTATTATTAAAAGATTAAAAAGAGATGCATATATATGGAAATGTGTAAAATAAAATATTTATTTTATTTTATTTTATTTTATTTTATTTTATTTTATTTTATTTTATTTTATTTTATTTTATTTTATTTTATTTTATTTTATTTTATTTTATTTTATTACATAGGTTGCAGTTTATAAATTCAAAACTATTACGAGTATCTTTTTTTTTTTTTCAATTTCTCCACAGGTTACATTGTTTTAAGGTAGATAGATTTTTGTCTTTACAATTTTATATTTCCCATCAATATATTTTTTCATTTTTTTTTACTTTTACAAAACATATTTAGCTTAGTATCTAAAGTAAACATGGGCTAACATAGTGTATGTGAAATTAAGGTTATTTTTACAATAAAAAAATGTTAATGCCTTAATTACCGGCACTTGTAAATTAACATTTGAGTTTGATTTACTCTTCCTTTAAATTCCGCCTTATGAGGACATCAATGCGGGCCGAAGTGCCTCTTTTGCTTGCCCAAAGGTTAATTTTTGCAATAAAAAACTTGAATGACATTTGTGGAAGTGCCAAAATCAAACAAATAGTTCCAAGTATTTACAAATTAGACACTAATATAATGAACATATTAGATAAACAATGTATTTACAAATTGATGTGTTCCAACCGGTCAGCTGACTGATTTGCCCAAGTTGAACATTTTAAGAACTAACTAAACACACTTATTAGGCTTAAATATAATTAATCACTTTACAGTAAATCTATATAATGCTGGCCATCCATCTTTTGATGTATATATTCATGATCCATCCCCAACAAAAAGGTCGTACCTTTCTCCCTTTAATTCTATCTCCTTGATCTTCATGTTAGTACAGAGGAAGCTAGTCAATAAATAAGCTGAATATATATATACAAACCCAGAGATTCATTACAGAAATGGGAGGTTCTTTAGAGCAGGTTTCGAATTACTACTACTGTGAAATGGAAAGCAGAGGTTGCAGTGTGTGGTGGGTTGAGAAGTACTTCAAGGATTGCCTCTGCAACCTCAGCGATGAAATATCATTTGCTTTGGGACTCATCAGTTTGGTCTGTTGGGGCTTAGCTGAAATCCCACAGCTCATCACCAACTTCACCAACAAATCCGCCTCTGGCCTCTCCCTCTCTTTTCTCTTCACTTGGATCGTCGGGTAAGCCCAGCCCAGGAGCTAGCTGTTAATTAATTTCATCATTTCATTATTTAGAGTCCGTTTGGTAACTACTACGTATGTTTTACAGTTTCATGTTTATCAGCCATTTTTTCCATCAAACACGAAACTTTGATTCCATGCCCTGAGTGCAATATAATAAGAAAAAGTAAGCTTAAAGTTATTTTTTCTGGCTGTGTTGGCTGAAATTACCGTAGATGATGCTTTTAGTTATTTTTTCATATAATCTTTTTCATATTTTTAATAAAAAATAGTTTAAATGAAATTTCTTTATAAATCAGTAGAATCAGTTAATTCATTCAGTTCATCCAGAACTTCACAAATTTAATCATAATCAATCAATTTCAGTATAACCAAAACATATTCTTATTGGGTTTTTCTAATTAGCTAGCTGCGAATTTAGTGTTAACTAGCCCTACATTCATTCCTATTGGGTTTTATTTTGCAGAGATATTTTCAATTTGTTTGGGTGCATTCTCGACCCGGCTACGGTACGTTCTTAGTTAAGTAAGATATCTTAATGTCATCTACTCCGTGCTTATATTTGTGTGGTTGATATAATATATACTACGTATATGATTACTTTTGCAGTTTACGGAGACGAATTAATGAAAGTTTAGCATAGTATAATTTAGGGTAATTTGAGTTTACACTCATATTATGGTCAAAATTGGACTTTGCACCCCAACCCCGTATGAAAAGATAAAAATGCTCCTCCATTAACAATATTTTGGTCTTCAACATATTCATGATCAAGGTGCATTTTTGTCTTTTCTTACGAGGTTGGGGTGCAAAAACAAATGTTTTTAAAAACGGGGTGCAAAGTTCAATTTGAACAATAATATGAGGTGCAAATTCAAATTATCCCTATAATTTATGAGTGTTGACAATAATTAAGAATTGAAATTCATAGTGATCAATCTAGTCGTTTATAAAGCACATTGAGATCATGAATTGTGATCAATGATTGAGATTCTGTCACCATAAAAATTGAAATACATCATGAGCACAATAATGTATGATGAAAAATCCTCGTACCATAAAAAAAACCCTCGTTTTTTATTGAGAATTATTTACTTCGTCACTACATGGCGAACACATTGGTGATACTCAAAGTATAGCTAATGGTGAAAAAATTAAACTCATATAGTTTAGTTGTAAACAGGGGAGATATAATACGTAGTATCTGAACGAAATAGCACTTCAGGATACTTTGATAAATGAACCTTTTCATATAGATATAAATTTATACTTTGATAAGTTTAGAAGTGCAATTTTAGCGCTTTAATTTTCGGCGATACCTGTTATTAGTCCTGTAATTGTATTCTGTTGTCAAGAGATTTGGTCTTATAACTAATAAATTTTTACAATTTACGAACTTTTCCATTGGAAAGTACATTTTTCGGTCGTAAATTCACCGGAAAATATGTTGCTAGCTCAAATTGTATACCGAAATTTATACTTTGCGGTTTCAAAGCTCTTAAATTGCAAAAATTTATTAATTACAAGAATAAATCTGCAACAAATAAATTTACGAGACTAATAACGGGTACAACCGAAAATTACGAGACTAAAATTGCAATTCTCCGATCCCAATTTTGTCAAACTGACTTTTAATTTCTTGATCAATGTTAGTAAGTTTTAAATGATGATTTTAGCTATTATATTAATGTCAAATTTATATAGTTTATACATTTATGAAAGTATTTTTAAAAAAAATATTTTCATCCAAATGTCATATTTTAAATAATTTTATACTAAAACATACTCCGTATTAGAGAATAATTTCAACGAGAATAATTTTCCACTAAATGATTTTATATATTTTCAATTTAATAATCATTGATCAAGCAAAGGTTTTTATCAAATATTTGGTGGGTGAGTGACTGAGTGAGTGACCCATAGATAGGATCGACAATATTGTATGCGGAGTATATTTCTCACATTTTTTTTGTTTATTTGGTTGTGTGGGATGCGACAACGCGGGTGCGCGCATGATGAAGCAGCTTCCTACTCAGTTTTTTACTGCACTGGTAAGTAACAAATCCTTTTTACTTTCAAGGACAGCATTAGCTCGTCAAAGCTAATTAATGAGCGCTAAAATTTGACATTCTATCCTCATATATAGAGCCCGTTTGGTAGCACCAAAATCGGCTGTTTTGGCTGATTCTGCTGAAATTTATGATATTCTGGCTGGAGTGGCTGTTTTGGCTGATTCTGTTGATTTAAGAAAAAAATATTTTAAAAATATATTTTATTAATAAATTAAAGAAAAAATTATATGTAAAAATAGCTAAAATGGTCCTCTACAATAACTTCAGCCAATACAGCCAGAAAAGTAACTCCAACCTTACTTTTTCGGCTTATTACACAATTCAGCGCGCGAAAGTAAAAGTTACGTGTTTGGTGAAAAAGCTGGCTGATAAGCCTGATAAGCCGAAAACAGAGTTCTCCAAACGGGCTCATAATTTAATTTGAAAGGAGCAATGCCAATAATTTTGGATAAAAAATTATATGTATAAATAGTTAAAGTGATCATCTACAGTAACTTCAACCTTACTTTTTCTGCTTATTACACAATTCAGCGCGGAAAGCAAAAATTACGTGTTTGGTGAAAAAGTTGGCTGATAAGGATGTTTTCTTTTGGACTGTTTTCAGTCCCATACCAGACCAGACCGGACCAGACCAGATCAGACCAGACCAGACTTATGTAGTTATAAAATACACAGAGATTAGACATTTACCAGACCAGACCATACCAGTTCAGACCAGATCAGACCAGACCAGACCAGACCAGACCAACAAATTTCAGTCCAAAAGAAAACATCATAAGTCTGATAAGCCGAAAAACAGTATTGCCAAACTGCCTCATATTTTATGTTTAGCGAAATCTTAAACGCAATTAGTAGTGCCTTTTAAACCGTATTTATTGAACTGGTAAATTTGGTCGCATGCAGCTGTACACAATAACAACAATAGCCCTGGTGGTGCAGTGTATATATTATGAGCATTTCCTCCGCTGGTTGAAACGTCGAGACAACAAGAAATCAGCCAATCTCCAGGTGCGTTACACATTATCTAATCCCAAACAGTTTTTTGACACAAGGTTTGATTATGGAATAGTGACTCCGTGTACTTCAGTTACTAGTACTATTTTTTGGGTACAATGGAAAATAATACGGAGTAATACATCGTAGTAAATTTCATGACTATTATGGGGTTCAATTTTATATGGCACATATTAACCTTCTTTACTTTAATTTTTTCTAGGGGAGGGCATAAAAACCACACCGAACCGATACCGAATCGGTCCGTAATGGTACAGAACCGAATATCGGGTATTTAAATGATTCTACAAAATTTTATCCCGAACCGAAACCGTACCGCGAGTTTCAAACGGGTACGAGACCGGTCCTAGATTTTGAGAACCGAAAAATACCAGACCGAACCGTTCAAAAATAATGTCTTTGAGATTTTTATTTTTATTTTTTCCATACACATAAATATCTTTTATAGACCAACAACTTTATAGCCCAAGGATGTATTCATGCATCCCTAAAATAGCTAAGTGCGTTTTATACTTCGTATAAATATTATTATTTTTTCCTTTTAGATAATAAATTTATGTTATATTTGGTATATAATGAAAGAATGCCAAAGTTTTAAAAAAACATTAATTACTATTAATTTCTAGTAATGTAGTGTATATAACTTATGTTATATCATATTTGTGTAGTTTTATAACTTAATTAATATGATTTGAATCATAACTTTTACGATTCAATTATGAACTACTCCGTATATTAGAATTAATATTCAACTTAGAACAAAGAAGAAGAACATTAAATATTTGTATTTTGTTTAATAATGTAACAATATTCTTTCTATATGTTCTTGTGGATTTAATAAAGATGATATTATACGATTGTATATTGTCATTTTGCTATAATTTTACTCAATTTCTTTCGCTATTTGAGTGTTTTTGAATTTAAATACAAAAATGTCAACCTCTTCAATCTTTTCTAGTATATAGTATGCACTTTCTTGTATTTTTCTACTAATTGCAAAATTTGTTCAAATGTTTTGGCATGTTAGGCATTGTACCGAATCGTTTTGTACCGTTCCGAAATGATATGGTACTGAATGGTTCTATCCTTAGAACCGGACCGTACCGAACTGTTAGAAACCTCACGGATACATTACAGGTTTCGCTAATTTACCGGACCGTTCCGGACTGCACCCACCCGTAATATTTTCTGATAAATTGTATCATACTCCGTATTTATATTTGAGGAAAGACGTAATTCGATATTGGGTTTAATTTGCTAGCTCTTTAATTAGCAACCGATAATTATCACATTCATTCAGGTTACTGTGGACGGAAAAGAAGAGGTTGTGAAGAAACCAAAGTTACGACATCATCAATCCATTGGTGGGGCAGGGCCAAATGCTCCTATTATACCCTCGGAGAAGCATTATTATTTCATGTACGTAAAGATCTTTAATATCAAGTGTGTTTCCTTGTTAATCATGTCCCAAAAAATTAAAAGTAAAGGCGTATAATCGGTGCACTTTACATTTATCTATGGACGACATTAATCATCGTCTTTGTTTGGATAAATAAAATGTACATTAGCAAAATGTATGAATTATATACGGAGTATATATATAGTAGTACAAAGATCCATTTGTATATGGAATGCCGCAATGATACACTAATAAGTAATAACATGTTCATTAGAATTAAAAGTTTGACTATCTTGTTTAAAAAAAATTGACCATTTTTGTCACGAGCAATGAAGTATTATCCTCTGTATCGCATTAGTTGCAACATTGCAAATTACACACTATTCATGTACTCTACTTAGCTTTGACTACATTTTATTTATTAATGTATGTGAATTATTATTTTTTTAAAATATTGTTAAATTGTCTCATTAAAAAGTTTCATAATCTGATTTTTAATTATTTTTTACTAATACATAATTAATAATTAAATATAATGACGGTCAAAGTTGTGCATTGGGAAACGCGAAAAAGCGAATGTTGCAACTAAAAAAACGTGAAGTATGATAAAAGCGTTGGTCGGGGTGACTTGGGGTGTACAAATATTCAATGCGGATGAGTTTGTGCAAGGACCAACATTTTTTTTGTTTGTAAGGACAAACAATATGTATGAATAATTATTACACATATTCTCGTACACTTCATCTATATATCAGGGGCGGCCCGGTATGTTTGAGGGCATAGGGGCGAAACATTAAAACGGGCCCAATTTAAAAAATAATCTAAAACTTTTTTTCTCTGAACTAACATGCATAACAATAATAATATTTAAAAACATTAAAAAAAAATTGTAAGACCATCTTCTGTCTAAAACAAAAATATTATACTACGTAGTATTGATAGTCTTATTTGTACACTTTATCAATGTTTTAGTCTTATTTTAGAAATTAACTCTATTATTTTCAATTCCTGCATTCCCTTTCAATGATGTGATCATTCTGAATCATTTTTCAGTAACTAAATCATTCTCTTCTCTGAGTTGTCATCTTTAGGAGGACATTCACAATTTGACTTCTTTAAATAAACAAACTTTTTCTAATTTACTGCTCTTTTTTACTTTATTCTATTCATATCACTAATTTTTTATTACGCCTTGAAATAAATTAAATTTATAAATTCAATACTCCGTAATAAGAGAAATATTTTTTCTAACCAAAAAAATATATAACACCGACAGTCAATAGATAACAATCACCAATTAAAAAATCAAACAATCAATTATGAATGAAATTAGTGACTAAACTAATCAAATAATCACATCAGATTAAATTTCTTCGAAGTGTAATTTTTTTATGAAAGTTTGTGAGCGCGTTTTTAATCAAGTTTAGATTAATATTCACAAATTTTCAACTTAAATTTCAATTGAGAAGTCTGTTAAATAAATTATTGAAATACATTGCGCCAAAATATGCATAAAAATGCAATGTTTTTGAATAATTTATTTAACTGACTTCTAGATTGAATTTTAAACTGAGATTTTGTGAACATTATATACACTAATAGATAACATGCTCATAAATTTTCATCAAAAAATCTAGCTAGAAGCACTAAAAACATTTTACCCAAAAAATTATTAGTTTAAAGCTGAAAACTCACCCTACTCACACCTATTATAAAGAACTAAATTTGGGCCTAACAAATTTTCATATTTTTTGGGCCTAGGGCGCCCGCCCCTCCTGCACCCCCCTAGGGCCGCCCCTGCTATATATACATCTTGCGGATTATTAAGATAAATGAGTGATATCAATATTGATATTACTATCTCAATTCTTAAATAAGTGCAAGCTAAGTGTGCAATAATCCATTTCTCACATTTGTCGCTGCATGAATTTAACCATTAGTATATCTATTTTTTTTTTTGCATAAATATGATTATTCATTACTATAACGTAGTGTTGTGGTAACTTAAGTTAAAAACTTGAACATGAATTACTATAATTTCATTATTACTCTAGCAACTAGTCATATTTTTGTAAAACATCTTTATTTTGGTCATATGTATGTAATTATTTATAAATGTAATTATTCCTCAAAATAAATAGTCATACGAAGTATTTATGTAAATAATAAGTTTGATTTTAATAATATTCTTGAAATGAATAGTCATATTTATGTAAGTTTTATTTCAGTAATATTCTTGAAAAACCCCCTTACATTTACTACGTATGTAACTAAAATAAAGATTATTTGCAAAAATGTTACTCACGACTATAGTAATAACTTAATCATGGTAATTTGTGTTCAATATTTAAATTTAAGTACTACTCCCTCCGTCCCTGAAACAAGTTCCTCCTTTCCTTTTTGGGTAGTCATTGAATTAAGTTCCCCTTTATTTGGCTAATTATTTATATCAAAATAGTGCCAAACAGTGTCAAACAGTGTCCAAATAGTGTCCAAACAGTAAAATTTACCTTCCAGTAAATTTCTTTCCTTAATATGTGTACAAAGCAATGATGAACTTCTTTCGGGAACGGAGGGAGTATAATACTAGAATAGAGTAACTATTAATCATATTTGCGTAAATAAATTTCATTTTAATAAGATAAATGTATTTCGGACGGAGGAAATGGAAATTTGTTACCCTTATATTTCATGAGATCAATCTTGAAGGTAGTATAATAAATATTAATCATATTTGCGTAAATAAATTTCATTTTAATAAGGGAAAAGTGTCATATAAGTCCATATACTTTTAACAAAAAGTCAATTGAGTCCATGTACTTTTTTTCGAGTCAATTAAGTCCGCCAACTATCAAAAAACGACCAAATCGGCTTTTTAATAGGTAACCAACCGGTTACCCTGTTAAAAGCCTATGTGGACATCCAAGCTGGCGTTTTTTTTGTACTGTTTTCCAATTTTTTATTTTATTTTTCCTTTTCTTTTTCTCTTTTCCATTTCTCTCTTCCTTTTCCCCCTTTTTTCTCTTTCTTCTTCTGGTCCGCTCCTCTTCTGCGACTCAAACCCCTCCATCTACGGCCTCTCCTTCCTTCTTCCGCAACTACAGATCTATGGAGGTCAGGAGGTGGCAACGGAGGGTGGTTGGAGGTCGTCCGATGGAAGAGATGGAGGTGGAGACCATGGATGTGGAAGTCGGCCGAAGTTGTGGGTAAGGTGGTCAGGGGCTCAAGGCGGCGGCTATGGAAGCCGGGGCGGTTGGAGGTCGCTTCAATGGAGGAGGCGAAGGGGAAGGCCACGGAAGTGGTGGCCGGAGGCATTGTGGACGGAGGAAGAGGCGGTTGAGGACTTAAGGTGAAGGTGGAGGCCATACTCCGACGGTACGTGGCTATGGAGGTTGGACGGCGGAGGTGGTGGCTGAAGAGTCCTGTGTGGCGGAAGTGGTGGCTGGAGAGGCCTTGGCGGCGGCGCGGCGGAGTTTTTTCCTGTGGTGGGGCGGAGTAGTAGGAGTTATGGTGGAGAGCAGGAGACTGCCGGCCAGGGAGAGAAGAAGAGGAGCGGACCAAGAAGAAAGAGGAAGGAAGAGAAAAAAGAGGAAAAAGAAGAGAGAGGAAAAAAGGAAGAAAAAAAAGGGAAAAAAGTAAAAAAAAAAATCCAACTTGGACGTCCACATAGGCGTTTACACATAGGCGTTTAACAGGGTAACTGGTTTACTACCGGCTAAAAAGCCGATTTGATCGTTTTTTGATAGTTGATGGACTTAATTGACTTGAAAAAAAGTACATGGACTCAATTGACTTTTTGTTAAAAGTACGTGAACTTATTTGACAGTTTTCCCTTTTAATAACATACGAATTTTCAGGTCATTAAGAACTTTGGCAAGCAGTGCAACTCCACCTAGGGGCTCATACATAAACGTGGTACCAAGAAGTGGCCCGCCAGCTCTCCAGCACTACAACTCCGACTCTTCTGAAGACGAAACAGCCCCTTTATCTTCAGCCTCAAACAAAACTCCCATTACTCGCCCAAGATCAATCCCTCGCCCTGTACGTAAACTTATCATTTTATTTGCTTACACTTAACCCATTTAATCATTTCATTAGTTTTTTTTTTTGAAATTATTAGATATATTTTCACTTAGAATGTTAACACTTGGATTATAGTTTCTAGGTATGGTCGATCTGATGATCTAGTTTGATGTGTTTAAGTTCAATATAAAATGCCATTTTATGATGTTTTTATTGGATTAGTTTGAGAATCTGAGATCAGATCAGATCAGGTTTCGATAGCTTATAAAATACATAGAAAAAAGATATCTACCCGACTTGCATACTAGACACGTTTAGATCCGATCAAACAAGAAAATTACGGTCCAATTAAAAAAAAAGGGTTTTTTACAAGAATATATCTAAAATAAAACTTATTCACATAAATATGAGTATTCATTATTACAACGTAGTGTTGTGGTAACTTAAGTTCAAAACTTGAACACGAATTACTATGATTTCATTACTACTCTAGTATCTAATCATATTTTTGTAAGTCATCTTTATTTTGGTCATATTTATGTAATTATTTCTTAAAAATACCTTTAATCTTGATTCGATCTAATATGAATTGGTCTCACAATACGTGTACTTCACTTCTATCCAAATTTGGTCAGAATGTTTTTAATTGGATTAGAATTTTCTGATCTGATCTATTTAAATATGATATATATGTATTCTATAATTGCCGAAGTATGATTTGATATAGTCTGATATGATATGGTCGTGTCTAGTTTGTTTAATTGTGATATACATAGTACGGAGTATATAAATTGGTGTGGGCTGATCTGCGACTAAAAGCAGTCCAAATTAAAACATCTCAATAAAAATTTCTAGTTGCCGAAAATACTCGGTATATAAGTAAATACATTAAACATTTGCCCCCTATAATTAACCTCTCAAAAACAAAATGTTTAAACAAGTACACCTAATTGCCGAAAATCGAATTGAACAGCACCATGCCACCATACCCCGTGCGAAGAAGAGTCAACTCTGTTTGGCCAATTGGCCCCATGCTCATTTTATGGCTCTAAATCGAGTGAAGAGATTGACCCACTTATCAGTCCATAGTTATGAACTTATGACTTACAAGTCTTCACACGAGTTGCAATCTTGTTTGGCCGGTGTCTCTCCACTTTGGAGCAAAGTTTGTCCAGGTTACTAGGTAATCTAACAGAGCATATAATAAGCGTAATATACTTTCAAAAAAAAATAAGCGTAATATGCATAGGAAGTTCAGGAAGTTAATTAATTAACTAGCTTAGTAACCTAAATGCAATATTATGATAATAGGGGTTTTAAATTTTTAATTGTAAATTAAATGTATTTTATGCAAATTCACGAGAAACAAACTTGACTCTGAAGCAATAGACTAGTTGCACACAGCCGCCGCCGACTTGCGGAAACCCTAAACCCCTGTTTTGCTTTAGCTTACTATGAAGGAAGCGATGTAGGAATCCCAGGACAACCCACCAATCAGCAACATAGCCTTAGCCCTCCTAAAGCACAAAACAATCCATGAAAAAGCCGCACCAACGAACTCAGCACAAAAAAAACCCTACATATTGTGAGGAGATTCTCTCTTTTCAATATCTCTAATAAGGTCACCCCATATCCAAAGGCCCCCAGCATCGGCCAGACATTAGCCAGGAGGTTATAAATTAGACTTTGGAATATTTTCTTTTGTACTAAAATTTGCTGATTTGGTATTGTTTCATAAATGTCTTGTCTCTATGTATTTTATAACTACGGAAGTCTGGTCTGATCCGGTCTGGTCTGGTTTAAGATTGAAAACAGTCCAAAAGGAAACATCCTTAATCACAAGCTGACAGATAACAAGTGAGCAGAGGCGGAGCTAGAGCACTAGGCCGGACTGGGCCGATACAAAGAATATTTTTTGAAAATTTTTTACACGGAATTTTACACTAAAAATATAGACATTTTTAAAATTTGGGCTGGGTCAGGGCCAGGGATGACCCTCCCCTAGCTCCGCCCATGAGAGTGAGGCTTTGATCCGAGTACTTGCAGAGGCTCTATGCATTCTTACACATTAACTTCTCATCGCAATTAGGATTCGAACTTGAGACTTATCTCTTGTGACATTTGTATCTACCAATTGAGCTACGCTCACCGTCAAAACAAGATGACTTGAGGGATTTGAAACCTATAAAAGTTGATAAACTCTTTTCATTGTTTTCAAATCTCTTAGATTGTTAATAAAACTAAGATAATTTTTCTATTGAGATAGTTATTAAGGTAGTCGACAAATAAAAGATACATTAGTACTAGCTATATACGAAGTATGTTATTTTAGATGCTTAATACGTAGTAGAAAATATGACAAAATTCCTCATATAAGAATAAAACATAAACAAAAGGCATATATAAGACTATCACTAATTTTTCTAAAATAGGCCCAATCTACTCCTAATATGGAAAATCATATTTTTAATAGGATGAAATAAGTCCCCTCCTTGTGCAATTTCTAGAGAATCTACTAGGGGACATATAGCAGCAAAACACGATTAAAGCAATAAGCAAACAGGGCGACTCGAAGTTCACTCAAATGCCCAAGCATTCTCCCTTCTGATCTCCGCTTCTTCCTCTGGTGTGAAGTCATTCTTAATGTTAAATGTTTTGCGGATCTCCTCCGGTGTCTTCCCCTTGATCATGTCAGCAACAGTTTGACATGTGAGATCAAGCAAGCTCTTTATGTTGAGGTAATTGGCCGCCAAGATGAGATCGAACAGGGTTCCTGATCAACTTTGACGAATTCCGCATCGAAGGACTTGAGATCGTCCTCGCTAGGCTTATCCTCTAAATTACCTTAGCGAGAATCTTGCTGGTGACGTTTGAGAGGGGAATCGCAGTATCGGCACAATCGTCTTCAATCATGTTTTTGATCGTCTCAGACTCCTCAGACACCATGGATTCGACCTTGAAGGTCTAGCCGTCAGAGCTCCTCAGGACTATCATCTTCGAGGTAGACATTGTCGAGATTGATTACGAAGGTCGGATCTAAAAATTAATCGGTAACCCTAAGAGATATAGAAAGCTGAGAAATAAGCTGTGAAGGGAAGCCGAAATAGTGCGGGTCAATTTATAGAAAAGGTTCGGGCCGTCGGCTAGGATTCTAGTCAATTTCTATTCCTGACTATGTGGTGTTTGGAACTGATTATTCTGCTTTTCTTTTAAAGTAGAAGCAGAATCAAAATCCGTTTTCAGAAGTTGAAACCTTCCAGATTTAGAAAAAATGATTCTAGGAGTAAATTAGAGCACCAAAATCACTTCTGGATTTGTGCCCAAACATCCCAACTTCTACTTATGCTCCTTGAAGAAGCATACGTAGTTTTACAATCAGATCCGGACACCCCCTATATCGTATGTGTCCCTACAAATGTTCAAGTTTCTTTATCTTTTTTAAGGGATAGAGTTTCCTAATATATACAGAGTATTTATTTAATCAAGTTTCTGATGAAAACGGTTAGCAACACAAGAGGGGGGGTGAATTGTGTGTGTGTGGAACCGTGGCAGTTTTTCGCCGAGTTCTAGTGTGGGATAAAGGGAATTGCGAAATAGTAAAGTGCACAAGAATTTAACGAGGAAAAATCCCTTGGCTCAAAGGGATTAAAAAAACCTCGACCTCCCTCGGAGGAATTTTAAAAAACTTCACTAAACAAGCCTTTGAAAGAGTTATAAGAGTGATTCTCCTAATCTACCCTTGAGCCTCCCCAACTCTATCCTCTCTAGGAAGAGTTATGCATCTCTACCTTGCGGGTAGAGAGCCTCTCAGCTTTATCACAAAGCTCTCACACACACTTAACCCGAGGCAGCTACTCTAGCCAATTAAGCCTCAATAATCCAAGTACAATATGAAAGGGAAAAGAGAAACTCTATCTAGAACTCCGAGCGGGCAGTTTCAGGCGCCAAGGACTTGATCCTTTTTTTTTGAATGATTCTTCTAAGTATTTTTCTCGGTTCAGCACGCCTTTCTCTTTAGCTTCTTCAATTATATATAGGCTACCTTAGAATGAATCCGTTGGAGCCTTCTTCTCTTGAATAAAAATCAATGCTTGATTCTTGCTATGTTATGATTTAAAAATCCTTCCATCTTGAGGCTTAAGTCAACGAACTCATATGGACATATAAGACAAAGATTAATTATCATAGAAGAGTAAGGAAATAATTTTATTCTCCTACCATAAAGGTGCAACGGGTTATGCAAAATATTTCCACCCCACTCAAGTAACTTAAAACAAGGAAGGCAATTCAAATAAAAATATCTCTGACAACTTTCATAAAGTAAGATATTAATGCTAAGCATAACTCAATCATTTTTAATAAGGAAGCCTTTTAAATCAAATTCAAAAAGTCATGGTCCACTAATAGAAAAGTAATGAAAAGACCTTTCCAATTTACTTATTCGTACCAAGAGTCAATCAAGCATGCACCTAATTAAATATGGAATATATTTCAAACAAAGATTTACCTTTTCTAATCTGTATGGAAAGGGAATATTATACCTACCATTACAAGCATGCAACGGTCCATGCTAGCCAACCTCCATATTCGAATTATTCACTTAATATTTTAATTAAGGGTAATTTTTTAGCAAAACATACAATACGTAAATGCTATGGTCAACAACCAAATATAATCCAAGCACATGTTATTCATGTATGACACTCATTCACACAAAATGGAAATAAGGACAGTTCTGTCTTCCGTTCCGTATGGAACTGAGGTCGGTTTAGTTCGTCGTTCTACCTACATGGTTAGTCATCAACAAAACCACATACTCAACAGTTTCCTTATCGTTTAATTGATTTTTCTTGGTATATAACAATCGACTTTGATCGACGATATTTTTTAATATCAAATTGTTTTGAATATGAAAATTATTTCAAAATGTTCCTTATTAAAAATCTTTTCATAAAACTGTAAATTTTAAAAATTATATACAGATATAATAATTAAAATTATTGATAGTTTACCATCATTGACTAAGAAAAATTAAAATGACGAACCTTTTTGGAACGAACGTAGTATATAGATATTAAAAGAGAATATTACCCGAAATATGACTAAAAATTTTGAAAATTCCAAAATACGACTACCATGCTTTTATTCCCAAAATAGAACTAATTGCTGTCATGGTTTGGCAGTACCAAACTTCACACATGACATTATTTTCCAAATTTGGAAATACTTACTTCTATTTTGGGAATTAAAAAAAACATGTCAGTCCTGTTTTGGAATTTTCAAACTGTTTTAGTCATATTTCGGGAACTTTCCCTATTTTAAATATGATATACTCACAAAATAAATGTGAGGCAGCAATTTACCTTTTACTGCTACGAAAATAGAGAATACTAAGGGCCTGTTTACTAACAGAGATATTTTCCTGTTTTCTACTTCTGTTTTTCGTTCTCCAATTTTCTGTTTTTATTTTTCAGTTTTTCTATCTCCAATTTTCTGTTTCTATTTTTAAGTTTTCCATTTTCAAATTTGAAAACATGTTCATCAATTTTTTCACACAGTTCTCCAATTTCACACCCTTGACCCCTACCTCTACCCTTACCACGATCTTACACTCTACCCATACTCCACCAACCCCTTCATACCCACCCATACCTACTCGTAGGGGTCGGGGTAGGGAAGTTATGGGTGGGGGTGGGGTTTGGTATGGTCGGGGTGGGGTGGTAAGGTCTAGGGGTAGGGGTAGTGGGTGGGTTAGGGTCATGGTTAGGGTTAAGGGTGGGGTAGCGGGTAGGGTTGGGGTAAGGTAGGGTAGGGAGTTGGGATAGGATGGTGGTAGGGTGGGGTTGGGACCAGGGTGGGGCCCGGGTAGGGAAGGGGTAGGGTGGGGGGTAGGATAACGGTAAGGGTGGGGTAGTGGGTAGGGTTTGGGGTTGGGGTAAGGTAGGGGTAGGGTAGGGAGTTGGGATAGGATGGTGGTAGGGTGGGGTCGAGACCAGGGTGGGGCCGGGGTAGGGAAGGGGTAGGGTGGGGGGTAGGATGGCGGTAAGGGTGGGGGTAGTGGGTAGGGTTTGGGGTTGGGGTTGGGGTTGGGGTAAGGTAGGGGTAGGGTAGGGAGTTGGGATAGGATGGCAGTAGGGTGGGTCCGGGATCCGGGTGGGGTCGAGGTAGGGTGGGGGTGGGATGACGGTACGAGGGTGGGGGTAGGATGGCGGTGGGGTGGGGCCTAGGTAGGAGGCATGTGGTAAGGGGTAAGGTAGGGGTAAGTGGTAATATACGAGGGGTGGGGTTAGGGTAGGGTGGGTCGGGGTGGGGTCGAGAAGGTAGGGGGTGGCGGTAGGGTAGGGTGGATTGAGGTGGGGTCATGGTGGGGTCGAGGTGGTAGGGGGGTGGCGGTAGGGTAGGGTGGATCGGGGTGGGGCCGAGGTTGGGGCATGTGGTGGGGGGTGGGGTAAGGTCATTATATGAAAAAATGGGTACGCGGGGTGGGGGTTGAGTGGGTAGGGTAGGGTAGGGGTAAGGGGTAAGGTACGAGGATGGAGGTACCAGAATGGAATCGACATCGGAGCGGGACCAGACCAACCACTAGGTGTAAGTATGCAAATTCATTGCAAAGGCACTGTAGCATCTGCGTTTTCCAAATTTGGAAAACTAGTAAAAGTCACTTCTCCAAATCATTAAGGAAAAGAGAGACATGTTTCATTTTTTCCGTTTTTGAAAACGATTTGGTAAACACGTCTTTTTTCCTTTCTCCAGTTTTCCAGGAATTTCTTTAGTAAACACGTTTCCTGTTTTCTGTTTTCCAGTTTTCCAGTTTTCTGGAAAACTGGAAAATATTTCTGTTAGTAAACAGGCTCTAATTTTCTCATTGGAATATAATTGATAATCAATTTTGATTATTGACAAACTGTTTAAGTTTTGAATTGAGATTTTCTTATAAATTAAATATTACGTAGTACCTAACTTTTAAACGATGAATGTAAACTTATTCAATATTGCGCGCTCATAGCATTTTGTTAGTTGTTACATGGTATATTGAATGAAGTAAAAGGTTACAAAACACACACACATTTAACGTTTTGAATGTTTCATTTAATTAGTAGTGCTTACTCCTTTTTGGTTACGTTCTGCATGTGTAGACAGCGTACGGCACATTTTTGGCGGCAGCTGCGGCGGCTTATTATCCTGCCGGAGGCGACGCAGCTCTGTTGGTTATGGGTCATGCAACGAGGACGACAAGATTTGTAGGAAGGAGGTTATTATTACAGGTTAGTCAATTGTTACATTGCACAGGTTACTTCGCAATAAGACTACTTTTATTATTTTATTTAACTTTTTTCACTATTTTATTAAAAAAATATGCGGAGTACATTTTTATAATCAAATATCAGGCCAATTCAGTTATTCAGTTTCAACTATTATTTCTCTAATTTCAGCAGATTTATCCGATTAAACCAATTTTAGGGTACTAATCAAGCTTTATGTCTCTTTTTTGACAAATGATCATACATATATAGTATCCATACTTTATCCTTCCTTTGAATTAAATATGCAATTCTTCATCTCAAGTTTACTTATTTTTTTTTTTATGTTACAATACAAGTAATTAAAGTATAATTTACGTATTTAAATTTAGGTCCTACGAGTTTTAGGTGATTTCCACATTTAGTCCACATCTTTCACTTCGTTCACTTTTGGTACATGACTATTGTGTTTTCGCCCATATATGGTCCTTCCGGCATTGTTTCCGATGGTTAAAATCGCCGGAAAAGGACCACAAACGGTTAAAAAACATTAGTCAAGTACCAAAAGTGGATAAAGTGAAAGACGTGGACTAAAGGTGGAATTGACACAAAATTCGTAGGACCAAAAGTGAAATTAATTCTTAAATTTATACTATTTCGTTATCTGCAAACCTAGGAAGCACGAAAACTCTCCATGGCTCACGTTTCCACGTTTCGGAAACTCGGAAGCGTTTCAGAAACTCGGAAACTTCAAATTCCCGTTTCGGGGCCGTTTCCGTAATTAAGAAAAATTTGGAAACCCGTTTCACTACGTTTCGGAAACCTTGGATTCCAATTTTTTTCTTTTTCAAAAGATTCTGTGGTGGAAAATAATTTTTTATAGTGATTTTTTGTGGTATTAAATTTCTCAACGGCAACACTTGTTACATTTCGTAACGCAATGTATTGCTAGAAATGTATTACTCCGTACATTTTATGTTTAATTATGTACTAATATGAAATAATATCTAAATTCGAACATGTAGAGTGATTTTATTATTTGGTTACTAAACAAATTATATTAAAAAAACATGTGCATATGGAAAAACTTGTGTACATATATTAAAAAATATTTATAAATATATCCTTATATTTTATAATATTTACATATTTCCCCCACGTTTCGTGTCCTATATTTTTTTAGAAATTATGTTTCTCGCGTTTCCCGTTTCCCCTTTCACGTTTCCCGTTTCCGTGCTACTTAGCTGCAAACTCAATCAAAGTATCACCATTAATTTTGGACGGATGTAGTATAGGATAATTTGATGGAAGCCAAATTTGAGATGATATTCTTCTTCTCTAATTATATTTCATACGGTCTCCTTTTATCTATTATTATGCTTAAATTAAAGCAACAGACTCAGTTAACATATTATACTTAATATTCAGGAACATAATGAAATTGATAACAACGTACTAGTTGGGCAATGGCTAGGATGGCTGATGGCTGCTATATATATGGGAGGGCGAATTCCTCAGATTTGGCTCAATGCAAGTATTTTAAGGCACAATTGCTTTATATTATATACATATACATATGATTGGTGATTTAATTTTGTATTGATTTTCAATTCAATAATATAATTTTAATTTAGCTCATTTCGGTTAACTAACTAACATTATTTAGGTCTTTCAGAAAAAAAAACTAACAATAATAAGGCCGGATTAATCACATAGAGCATCTGTAGAAGTTGGGAGGGTAATGCTCAAAAAATAATTACACATTTATGATTATAATGGGTATTTAAATTAGTATTGGCTAAATTCAAATTTACCACATTACAGTTTGATCAATAATATTGTAGTTCATTCTATGAAATTAATCAATTTAAAGTTATGTAATGAAACATTTCAACAAATATGTAATTTATTGTAATACAATTTTTTAAAATATTAAACTATTGGGTATAGTAGTACTCCGTATAATTCATGTAAATATTTAATTAGCATATTATTATTATTGACACATTGGAAATCATTCACACTTAATTATGAAGGAGCATATACGTAGATAATTATACTAATTTAGATAATTATACTAATTACACTTAATTATTGACTTCCATATCATCTTAAATTGGGACACAAGTAATGATAGTATATTGTTAATAACCTAAATGTAAACTTAGTTTATATAGCTAGTATCAATGTGTTACTTAAAACAGATCTCTATATAACTTGTATGCATGTACGCAACAATTAGCATTGTTCTATTTTTTAATTTATGGCGTTACTTTTTTTTTTAATTTTCATGATCTTCTCATAATCAATACTTGGTATATTTTTTTCTGCTTGGCCAGATTAAAAGAGGGAGTATTGAGGTACGTATATATTGCATGTACCATAGCAAATAGCCTTTTGTATCTTACATGTTCCATCCATTCCAAAATGAAAGTAATAGATTGAATTTTCTAAGAAATTTTTTGCCAATTTGAACTATGAAGTTATATATTTTAATAAATAGAGGCATTAATATTTAATACACGAGTTATTTTATAACATGAGAATTGCCTCGACTAATTTGTTTTTTTACATCTAGGTAGTATATAACTTTGAAATTAATATTATACTCCCATGTCCCTTTTTATTTAGCTCAAACACCATTTTTTAAATCAATGATGTTAAACTTTGACTGATTATATATTTATACACAGTAATATTGATAATATAAAAATGACATTAAAATGTTCTTTGTTAAAAATACTATCATAAAAGTATAAATCAATTTTTTTTATAAATATATTAGTTAAAAAAAATGGATCAAATCAAGTTTATCATGTTTGACTGGAAAAATAAAAGATTGCTATATTAAATGGGATGGAGGTAGTATTTTATTATATTATTCATGTATTTATTAATATATATTCGAAAATAGTAATGAGCTATCGAGAATGATCGACCAAACATGTACAAACATCAAATTCGGGTAAAGGGTCAATTTGGTCCCCAAAGTTGCATAAAGGGGCCAAATAATTAAGTCCTTATGCAGGAGGTTCTATCCGGTCATTGCCATTTAGAGTGGTTCCCGGTGGAATGGTTTGATGAATTTTTTTGAGCATCTTGTCATTAAGTTTAGTTCACTTATACCAAATTTCAGATAAAAATTCAATCGGGAAGACATTCAAATAAATTCTTGAAGGTAACTATGCAGTTAAAAGCGCAGTTCTCTTTAAGAATTCATTTGAATGCCTTCCCGATAGAATTTTTATCTGAAATTTGGTATGAGTGAACTAGACTTAATGAATAAGATGCTCAAAAAATTTTATCAAAAAAATCCACCGGGAAACGCCTCAAATGGAACGTCCGGACGGAATCTTCTATATAAGGACTTATTTGACTGACCCCTTTTATGCACAACTTCGAGGACCAAACTGACCCTTTACTCCGTCAAATTCACTAGAAGTCAAATTGAAAGTCTATGTTTAGAGTAAGTCAAACTGAAAGTCTTATTTTGGGGTGGACATAATAATGGCTAATATTTTTAATTTATACCATGAAGTTCTTATTTGAAGTATATATTTATAAAGTAATGGTTATTGTAACTTATGTAGGGGCTGAATCCCCTGATGTTTATCTTCGTTCTTGTGGCCAATGCCACATATTTTGGAAGGTATGGTACGGTATGACTTTATTGGTTGGTCAATTTTAAGTAATTTTCTTGCGATTTATTTATACGAATTATATAATCAAGATGAAGAGTTATATAATAAATATACGAAATATATGGAATGGTTCGATCAAAAATTAAATAAGTAGATGAATTTGAATGATTAGTGTTGATGCAGTATAATGGTGAGAAGCACTGAATGGGAGAAAATAAGCGCAAACATGCCATGGTTGGTAGATGCAGTGGCCTGTGTCCTTCTCGATCTTTTTGTAAGCGCTCATATATTCCCCATTAATTAATCACATACTCCGTAATAATTACTATGGTATGAATTAATTTGTTGGAGTATCATTTAAGCTCAATATTGCTCAAAAAGATATTGGGGTGTTTGGTTCATGGCCTATCAGCCATTTTTTAGCTGTTTTGACTTGTTTTTAGCTTTTTGACCAGATGAATCTGCTAATTAAGTGTTTGGTTAAAGTGCTTTTCTATTCGGCTTCTTGCCCCGAACAACCAACTTTTGAAACGCCACAAATCTAAGCGTTTGGGCATGGCTTTTCCCTTAAAAATTATAAATATTCCTAGTCTACCCCACCACTCTCGCACTTTCTTCCCATTAAATCATTAATTAATTGATTAATTGCCCCTTTCTCATGTAGAGAAAAAATGTTTCTACCAGCTTAAGACATACGTAGTACGTAGCACTCTGGTAGTTTTCAGTTCACTACTTTTGACATCAAATATCATAATCTTTATTGGGGAAGTACTCTGGTAGTTTAAAAAATGTTTCTATCACACTTGTTGGCAATTTCATTAGTGGGTACTCTATCACGTAAAATTATACTATAGTTTAAAAAATGTTTCTATCACACTTATAGTAAAGTATGGAATATTGACGAGTACGTAGTATAATTTTACGGAAATTATTAATTTTATACTTCTTATCTTATCCTCTTTTGTAATAAAATAATGAGATGAAACACATGAAAGCATTTCATTGTCTTAATACCATAAAAATGGCACTCCTTATATTTTACCTACAACTCCATTATTAATCAAAATATCATCATTTTAGGTATTTTTTTTATTTAATTACATTTGTTAATTTTTGAAAAAACAATGTTTCAAATAATTATCACTATGGTAATACGTTTTTACTTTTTAAAATTATAAAAACGGTTAAACTAGTGGTACTAACTACATTAATAAAAATAATAGTTGATGTCCTTAAAAGTCATTTAATAAATTATCAGCTAATTGTAAACAGCCATTTAACCAAACACTGTTTTACAAACGACTAATTCTATCGGCTAATCAAAACACCAACTGAATCCGCTGCCATCAATCAGCTAACATAATCAGCCAACAGCTAACAGCCAACAGTCAATTGCCAAACACCCCATTATTAAATATGAGAATTTGATTTTGAACCCATATTAGAAAAGCTTAATATGTGGATTTTGGCTGATTAAAAAAGTTAATATTTGCTCTTCAATCTCTCATGTTCTGTAAATTATGATATGAGCAAATTAAATTGGAGTTGTAAAATTGAAATTGACTGAATCGGCTGAATATGGTGAGATTGATGAAACTATGACTCAAGTGCCAAGTGGTTAAATTGACTGAAATAAAAACAATGTTTAGAAAATTAAGGAAAAGTTATTTGAAAATAGTTACAATGTTCCTCCACATGTCAATTTTAGAAAATTAACTACAATCTTACTTATTTTTTATTATTACACAATTGAAAGCGCGACTTCAAAAGTTATGAAATTTGGTAGAAATGTTGTTCGATAAAACTGAAAACTTGGGTTAACGAATGAGCTCTTAATTTGTATAAACATGTGGTACCGGCCTAGCTAGTTCAATTTCACTTAAATATATATATTAGTTAATGGGTGTTTATACATTTTTAGTATGTTATATATACGTTTAAATTCATGTTATATATATTTACACAAATTAACTGTATAGACTTTTTTATTTTTATATTAACTTGTCAACTATGTATGATCGATAATAATATCAAAATTCATAAAATTTGATGTTAACTAAATACATATTACGTATTGTATGATTAAGTACAATTGAATTTTATTTTTGACTATCACATTTTATATATTAATCACTTAAGTATAAATGGATATATCAAATAGAATTTTATTCTTTTCATCAATAGAAATGCCAAATACTTCGGAGATACTATAATGAACTTTATATTTTATTTATATTTGGAGCAGTTTCTTATTCGCTCCATTCTTTTTTATTAGTCCCCTTAGGGTTTGGCACGAGATTTAATAATAAAGTAGTAGGGTAAGTATATAGTGTGTACGTAGGGTAAATGATAAAGTATAAAAGATGGTATATTAAAAAGAGTAAAGTGATGATAAAGTAGGAAATAGAGTGTATTAAGAAGAGTAAAGTGGTGGTAAAGTAGGAAAGAGAAAGTGATTTGTAAAAAGTAAGTGGGGTAAAAGTAATAAAAATGGGGGTATTTTCTCAAAAACTTTCCTTAAAGGGAAATGAGACAAATAAAAAAAACGTCCCAAAAAGGAAAGAATGACTAATAAAAAAGAACGGATGGAGTATTATGATTATATTTTTATCTTGTCTACCAATTTTTCCTTGATCACAGATCATTCTTCAATACCTTTACTATAGCCGATTGAAGACGAAAAAAATCGAAACATCATACATTTGAAGAAATGCATGCATGGACGAGTCAGCCTCATCATTTCAATTCGTTCAATGGGAGGGATTGGATTGATCAGTATATATGATGGAGTACGTTTGACCAGAATTGACCAAATGCATGCATGCCTGTTATATGGCATGAACTATGTTTGGTTACCATCAATTAAGGATTTAAGGTGCTTGAGTATTCCTAGTTTGCTAGTTATATATATTCAAAAAAATCTTATAATTCTTTCCAATATCATCATTCATTTCATTACTTCTTTTTTTATGTTTTCGATTAATCGATTATTATTTTTCATTTATATATTCAGTTCAAGAAACTCGTCTAAACAGTGTTGTTTTTTAGTTCGACCATTTCATGACATTGTATATAGACCATTATGAAAGATTTGAGAAAATTACTAGAAGTATGCCTGAAACAAATTTTAAGTGTTTACTTAAAATTGATCGCAAATAATAATATGTGAGAATATCGGGTTCAATATCTAAATATGAATCCTCTGATTTTTCATTAGAAATACTCCCTTTGTCCCCCTAAGTTTGTCTCGTTTTACTTTTTTCGTCCGTCCCACTAAGTGTCTCATATCATATTTGGTAATATTTGAGTGATTAGAATTCATTCTTACTTTATTCACACTTTATCAAATCAATACCAACCACACAATTCTACTTTTTCTTAAAAACCACACCACACCCCTTTGTCCCAAACTTAGGGGGACGGAGGTAGTAATATAATTGAATAATATCAGTCAAAATTAAATCTTTAATCCTTCAAAAATTCAAAAATTCAAAAATTCAAAAGTTCTTCAGATCTTCGAATCCTCGAATATTCATTCTTCGGATCTTCAAATCTTCTTGAATGCAGAATTCAGCTTGAAAGGCCTCCGGTTTTCAAGTAGCTTGATTTTTAACAAAAGAGCCGTTTTGTGGCTTGATCTTCAATTAAATTTTGATTCAATCTTCATGTAAATATCTTCAAATCTTCAAAGATTCATTCTTAATATCTTCGAATCTTCAAAGCATTGTTCTTCAGATATTTGAATCTTCAAGTTTCGTTTTTTAGATCTTCGAACGTTCTCCAACTTTTGGACTTATTTTATCAAAATGGACGAAATCACAAAATATTATTCGTATATTATTAATAAAATTTGTGGCTTGATTTCTTTCTCTTCTTCAGAATCGTTCAGAGTCTTATGGAGTACTTTTCAGAGCTTTTCTTGTAGCGTTTCTTCGACTATAAGTTCTCCCCTCTATTCCTCTCAACTGAGATCCCTATTTACACGTGTTGAGGGGATGAAATATGCATTAGGGTCGCAAAACTTCGTCCCGGCCCCTTGGGCCTCAATTTGCTTGTATTTTAATAGCTAGAAAAATCAGCACCTGTGAGATGTATCTGGACAGTTTTTTAACAAGGTTCATGGTTATTTCTCATGCATAGAGACATATTTCTTAACCACATTCGTTGCCCTCTTCATAAGATAGATCATGTCTCTTATATTGGGCTATTATTTAAAATTGGTCCCAAAATAGAGAATTCAGTAGGATCAGCCCACTACTTTAAAAAAATTAATTTAATTGGATATCTTTAAATGGTCCAAGTTAATTTAATCATTAAATTTTATCCCAAGGGACCCATATCACCATCTTCCTTTTGATAAGGCCCCACAACCATTATGAGTGATTTGGTAGAGTTCAACGTTGGCCAAATAGCATACGAAGGAGATCCAATAAAGTCGAACAAGTCTTGTAGCTTCTAAATGAGACTCAACGAAAATAACAACCCGTCATGATTATCTTGTAAGTCCAATTAATTCATGATCAAATGACCCACTAATTTTCTTAAAAGACGACAATATCATTTTATTCTTAAGGATGTTTTCTTTTGGACTGAAATTTGCCGGTCTGGTCTGGTCTGGGACTGAAAACAATCCAAAAGAAAACATCGTAGTAAATTGGTGATATTTAGAATGTATGATATGTGTTTTTATTCTAGTTAGAAATAGAAATTTGTAAATACTTTAATCTCATATAGATAAATTTCCCATAAAATTCACCTAGAGAGGCCCGAGTCAAGACTGGGTGCATTAGTCCCCAACTCGACTGGTGCTCTCGGATTCCATATCATGTGTTAGTAATAAATACGGAGTACTCCATTTAACCCGTTAAGGTTCATAACGGGTTCCATTTAACATTTTTCATGGAATTGTCCCATAACACTTATGAAATGGAAAAAATACGGAGTACTCCATAACACCAGTCGGAAAAAATGTTAAATGGAATCCGAGAGCACCAGTCGAGTACACCTTGATTTTTCCATAATACAGTTAAGGTTCAAGTGAGAAGAACCCTTTGGATGAGAAATGAGAATGAATCTCAGTCATTGGATTCGACTAAGTTGCAGTAAAAGGCACTTCATGATGCACTGAAATATGCAATCCAGCATGGTGGCATTTCTGTAAATACTTCTGAAAAATCCGTATTACACGTGTCTAGTGCAACATGAAGCTATTTCGGTGCAATGCCGTCAAATATTAGTGCAACATGAAACAGTTTTAGTGCAACATGTGCAAAATTTAAATATTACTGCAATATAAAGCCAATTTTAGTGCAACTTCGTAAATCCAATTGCTGAGATTCATTCTCATTTCTCACATTAGATACATTTCTCACCTGAACCAAAATCGTATATAATAATCCCAACTTTTAACATTTTTCATACAATTGTCCCATCTAACTGTAACTCAAGAATAATCTCACCATTTGTATCTCATTTTCTTTCATCACTACCTCACCGATTGATGACTTGCTATTTCACGTTATTTTTTTTTCTTTAAAAAACATTAAATCATAAACCCAACCTTTTACAAATCTTTTCCAAACGTTCACACATATCATTTTTCTTTTCTCTCCATAGCTTTTTATCTTCTTTTATTTTTATCATCTTGACTCTTTTATTCCTATTTTCGTCTTCTTATTCTTATTTTTATTTCTTTTCCGTGTTTAGGTATTCCATTTTTTCCTTCTTTTTTCTTCTTCCCATTTATTATTTTATCTCCATTTCTGTGTTTTTTCCAGATTAGTTCCCTTCTTATAATAGATCTTTCTTTCACCCTATGAATTTGTTACTTTACTTCCACTTATTCATTTCATTTTTGCTTTTCTTACCTTTATTCCACCACTAATATATTTTTTCTTTTCTGAAAAATTCAAATAAAAATATAAACATGTAGCCGGGAAAGAATTATAAAGAGCGCTACAATGAATAGGAATGTATAGAACGAAAAGAAAATAAAAATGGAGGAGAAGAAAAAGAAAAGAAAAAACTATCGAAAGAATATATTTGGGATGTTTTAAATTGGACTGACATTTGCTAGTTTTTTCTGGTATGTTTAAGTCTGATCTGAAAGGGTCTGGTAAATGTCGATCTGGTCTTTGTGTATTTTATAATTGCGGAAGTCTGATCTGTTCTGGGATCGAAAACAATCCAAGTTAAAACATCCTTGCTTACCACTACCCATTTAATCATTTCATTACTTTTTTTTTGGAAAATATTGGATATATTTTCACTTGGAATACTAACAGGACTATATTTTTTAGGTACGGTCGATGTAATGATCTTGTTTCATTTGTTCAAGTTCAATCTAAAATGCCTTTTTATGATGTTTTTTATTAGATTTGTTTCAAACTAGATCAGATTAAACTTTGACAGTTTATAAAATACATAGAGAAAGGACATCTATTAGACTTCCATACTAGACCTGATCATATCAGATTAAACAAGAAAATTATGGTCCAATAAAAAATACCCTTAATCATGATTCGTTCTAGTCTGAATTGGTCTCATATATACGTGTACTTCACTTCTATCTAAATTGGGTCATGATGTTTTTAATTAAATTAGAACCTTTAGATTTGTTCTACTTAAACATGATCTATGTATATTTAATAATTGCAATGTCAGGTCTTTTAAGTGTGATATATATAATTTGGTGTAGTCTGATATGGGACTAAAAACAGTCCAAACAAAACACCTCAATAAAAACTTCTAGCTTCACATTATCAATTACCAAAATATACATAAATAAATACATTAAACGTTTGCTCTGTTGCTCCCTATAATTAACCTCTCAGAAAAATGTTTAAACAAATACTCCGTATTTGTTAGTGAGGGAGGAGGAGTGTGTTGGCTGTGAAGATAAACCAACGAGCGATTTGATCAACCGAGAAACACATGGTAGGAGGAGAGGATAATTTGGGAACAGGAGTATATTATTCAATAGTATGAACATAAACACTAGCATGAGAAGTGTTCCAATTCAACTCTGAGTAGTAATTTGGTTTTTCCTGGGTCGATGTCCGAGTGGTTAATGGGGACGGACTGTAACCCGAGTGGTTAATGGGGACGGACTGTAAATTCGTTGGCAATATGTCCACTTAAGCTTTGAGCTTTCAAAATAATTGATTGAACTAAAAATATTTCAGCCCACACCCCGTGCGAATTGAAGAGTCAACTATGTTTGGACATTTGGTCATTTTATGGCCTATCCCCTACCATTTAGAGCTCTAAATCGAGTGAAGGGATTGAGCCACTTATCAGTCCATAGTTATGACTTACAAGTCTTCACCCGAGTTGCAAACTTGTCTGGCAGTTGTCTCTCCACTTTGCAGCAAAGTTTGTCTAGCTTACTAGCTAATCTAACAGAGTATCTAATAAGCATAATAAGCATTTGAAACTTTAGGAAGTTAATTAACTAGCTTAGTAACGTAAATGCAATACTAGGATAACAGGGATTTTTTATAGTCAATTAAAATGTATTTTATACCGGGAAGTTACAAAAACACAGAAAGTCTACTTTCGATCGTGTGCCCTCAAACCAAATTTAGAGTCAGTCAAATCCAAACAATATGATCATTGGTCTTATAATGGGCTTAACTGAACTAATGACACATGAATCAGACCATTTTCATCACCCTATCGAGTTTTGTCAATAGGAAATAAAAGCAAGATCAAAGGTGAAAAGAAAAGAAAAATAAAGTTGTAGGAGGATTCATACGACGCAAAACAATAGACTAGCCACACACAACCGACGATGACTTACGAAAATCCTAAAAAATCCTTGATTTGCTTTCCTATGGACGTAGAGATGTAGGAACCCCATGACAACCCAATAATGAGCAACATAGCCTTAGCGGTAATAAAGCACAGAACAATCCATGAAAAAGAACGTTCAAATCTCCAATCTCCAAAGGTAAAGCCACGCGCACGAACTAGGAGGAAAAAAAATTACATTATGTAGGGAGACAGTTGCACATTCTCTCTTTTCAAAATCTTAGATTGTTAATAAAACTAAGATAATTTTTTTATTGAAATAGTTATTAAGGTAGTCAACAAATCAAAAACACATTAGTACTACATATGTTATATCAGATGCTTAATTAAAAATATGAGAAAATTTCTTATATAGACTTAAAACATAAACAGTGTGCATATAGAACTTATTTACTCCTGGAAATTTGAACTTTTATTAGGATCAATAAGTCCTATTTGTGCGATTTCTAGAAAATTCTATTGGGGGATATGATATATAGCAGAAAAACTACACGATTAAAGCAATAAGAAAACAGGGCGGACTTGAAGTTCATTCACTCAAATGCCCAAGCATTCTCCCTTCGGATCTCAGCTTCTTCCTCCGGTGTGAAGTCATTCTTAATGTTGAATGTTTTGCGGATCTCCTCCGGTGTCTTCCCCTTGATCATGTCAGCAACAGTTTGGCAGGTGAGATCAAGCAAGCTCTTTATGTTGAGGTAATTGGCCGCCAGGATGAGATCAAACAGGGTTCCCTGGTCAACCTTGACGAATTCGGCATCGAAGGACTTGAGATCATCCTCGCTGGGCTTATCCTCTGACTTCCCAGCCTCGACATGGCGTTTGCAGTACTCGATGACCTTAGCGAGAATCTTGCTGGTGACGTTCGGGAGGGGAATCACAGTATCGGCGCAATCGTCCTCAATCATGTTTTTGATCGTCTGAGACTGCTCAGCCACCATGGATTCGACCTCGAAGGTCTCGCCGTCGGAGCTCTTCAGGACTATCATCTTCGAGGTAGACATTGTCGTGATTGATTACGAAGGTCGGACTTTGAAATTGGTAGCCCTAAGAGAGATGGAACGATTTCGCTGAGAAATATGCTGTGGAGGGAAGCCCGAACAGTGCGGGTCAATTTATAGAAGGTTTGGGCCGTCTGACTATGGCTAGGATTCTAGATTTCTAGTCAGTTTTTATTCCTGAGTATATCCTATACGTCCTTCATATGTTCAAGTTTCCTAATCTTTATTTATACATAGTAGTATAATTTTCTTTTTGATCGTATATAAAAATATTTATTAATTCAAGTTTCATATTTGTTTATTCAAGTTTCCTATTTTCGTATTTGCCAAAAAAAGAGGTTTCCTACTTTCACAAATAGGACTAAACTTTAATTTTCTACCCCAAATACTCATAAGAGTATTAATTCATAATAAAATGTTTTAATTTATAATAAATATAATCGGGAAAAATAATAAAAATTGTAAGAAAAAAATTAATAAGTTAATAAAGTATTTATAAAATAAAAAAAATAAAACAAGAAAATAATAAACCATAGTAAAAGTCTGTAAACTAATCCACTTAGGCGCCAAACTAATTAATCGGGGTGCAACTAGGCACCTTAAACGGCTGACTACTTCACTTAGGCGCCAAACTAATTAATCGGGTGCCTAGACTAAAATTGGTGTGCCTGAACACCGCCTAGAGCCTAAGCGGAGACTAGTAAGACGTCTAAAATGACTTTTAGAACACTGATTTAAACATGATCTATGCATATTTGTAATTGTCATGTCTTATCTATTTAAGTGTGGTATATAATTTGGTGTGATCTGGTCTAGAGCTAAAAGCAGTCCAAATAAAAACACTTAAATAAAAATTTCTATCTTCACATAATCAATCACAAAAAAAATTAAATAAATACATTAAACATTTGCCCCCTATAATTAACCTCTCAAAAATACTGTTTAAACAAGTACACTTGTTGCCCCAAAATCCAATTGACCAGCACCATACCCCGTGCGAATTGAACTGCCAACTCTCTTTGGCGCTTTGCTCATTTTATAGCCTGTCCCCCACCATTTAGATCTCAATTGCAATATCGTTGGAGCAGTCCACAGTGAGCATGTTGCTCCCATAGAAAAAAGTTGTGTTACTATTCACACGTGTGAATAATAACTTCTTTTTTGTTATTTTCAATATCCTAGCAGCAAAATGATGTAATTCGCGTGTAAAGAGATGTAACACATGTTGATAAGAAATGTAGTTACAGACAAGTCGAAATGTAATTTGTCTAAGATGGACTATAAGAAATAAAATATTGATTTTAATGAAATAAGTTTAATTGCTCAATTAATTTACGTAAATAGTGAGTATGTTTTGTTTTTAATATTAAATCCATAAAAATGTTTTTTTTTTAATCTTTTTTTACCAAATAATCATTTTTTTGTCAAAAAATTCATTTTGTTTCTGCAAAAAAATGATTTTTTTTTGTTTCAGTAGCAGGGGTTTACTTATATAGTGAATATATTTTGTTTTTAATATTAAGGCCATAAAATGTTTTTAAATAACCACTTTTTTGCCAAAAAAAATTGCAATTTTTTTGCAAAACTGTGATTCTTTTGTTTCAATAGTAGGCTTTATGTTGTGATGTAAGTCGTTTTATGAAAAACAATTTAAATAAAGTTGCCTCCTCATAATCATGAGAAACCAAACTTTGTACCCTCGGGGTACATCCTTCTCAGAGACCAAGGTAGCCAGCACCCGCCATCTCCCTGTTTTTTTTGTGCATCTAGGTTCATGCCTTTGGCCATTTGATCCTATTTCTCCCGTTCCCTCATGATTATTCGTACGAAATGAAGCAATATACTAGCCGTACACAACCGCCAATGACTTGCAGAAACCCTAAACCCCTGTTTTGTTTTACTATGGACGCATATATTTTTACTTGGACTGAAATTTGTTGTCTGGTTTGGTCTGGTTTGGTCTAGTAAATGTCTGGTCTCTGTGTATTTTATAACTATCCAAGTCTGGTCTAGTCTGAGACTGAAAACAATCCAAGCACAAAACAATTCACGAAAAACGCATTCAAAACTCCAAAGGGAAAGCCACACGAACGAACTCGGCAGAAAAAAACGACCACCCATTCTCTCTTTTCAATATCTTAGATTGTTAGTATTGCCTGTGTACTATTGCTCAACCGTCACAAAGGCCCATGAACTTAAAAAAGAATCGTGCAGATACCCGTACTTCGTATAAAGTGTCAAATGGGTCGGGCTTCTCACTTGGTATTCCCGATAAAGGATTATGTGCCCCAGCTTTTTACCCAATCTGCCTTTTATTTTCCACATCAGCAGGTCAAGGGCCTTAAATATTAAATATAAACCTAATGTTTAGCCTTAAAAATAAATACCCAATCTGCGTTTTTTTCATCTACGAAGTACAAAGTAGTCTGCGTCTTAGCTTCATCGCCTAGAACCGCAGAGCACATCGACTGAAAGATAAAGTAAACTCCATTTCATCGACGAATAAGGCTTCTGCAAACGATCTCCATCTTCTCAAATGTCTTCATCTTCGTTTACTTCAAACAGAAAGGAGATTCCGGATCTGAACTACGAACCTAGCTTTTATTGTTAATGTGGTTTGAAGGCCCCGGTTTGTGTTTCCAGACAAAGCGGTTGTAAGTTCTACGGATGTCAAGGATGGAAGGTAATTGAAGCTAAATTTGCAATTTGATTTAATTTTTTTTTGTGATAGAATTGATATATAATTGGAGGTAGTATGTATTTGGGAAATACCTAGAATGGGTTTGAGATATGTTCTTGAATCCTATTATCTCTTTATTGGGAAATATTGTAAATGTGATTGTAATTATATACACTTTCTACAAATTGTTGCAGGAAGGAAAATCGTGTGGATATTTTTGTTGGAAAGATGAAAGTAATATACAACAACTACAACAACCTAAAGTGAGCTTGGAGGAATTAAGGACAGTGGTTTATGATTTACGGGACAAAATAATTCATGTGAACGCAGCAAGGCAGGTTGACATTGATGAGAATAAGAAATTTAGATTCTTAGTTGGTCTTGTGCTAGCCATGATCGTAGCAATGTTTATGTACATTTGTGTAATGTTAAAAGAATTAATTCATGAAGTTGCAATGTATGTTAGATAGCATGTTTGTGGTGCTTTATGTAGACCTTTGGAGTGATGTCCCGCTCTGTATGTGAGTGCCTATTGATGATAAATTTAATGCAATCATTTCACGATCGCATACCTTTGGATCAAACAAATGTCTCAAATTTTAGTAGTGATTACTCGGATGGTCAGGGTCTGATTAATGGAAAGGGTGGAAGTGTGAAACTTGGAATATTTTGATTTGGTTTATGTGTGGGGTTTTGGTCCAGTTTATAGGGTTGGTCTTGGGTCTGTTTCTAAACCTTAAAAATTAGATCAGAATAGTTTAGTGCAGCATGGAAATGACTCTAAATGATAATCCATTTAATACACCACAAAGGTGAATCAAGACAAAGCTGGATCAAACTGCAAACATGAATCACATGATAAAAAAAATACCACTCAAGACCCGAAATAAGCTGTGTTTGCTCAGGATACTCCCTCCATCACATTTCAAGTTTTTCAGTTCAGTTTGCTATGCTTGACCAATTATAAAGTCACTGCTTATGTTCTTAAAAAATACCACATGAATACTTGTTAAAATATGGTAGAGAACAACTGAAAACTGCCACAAGGAAACTTCTTATATAAACTGCCCAAAGATCCTTCAAAACATGGGATTATAATAAGGAAATCATAGAAGTCGTTAGGACTGATTAACTTTTGAATCATCTCGGTTCATTAGTAAAAACTTATAGAGGTCGTTAGGACTGAGTAACTTTTGAATCACCTTGGTTCATCGGTGAAACACCTAAAGACTAGAGTAACTTGGAGTGAGTTGTACTCTTTGTGAAAACGTGACAGTTTATGCCTATGATCAAGAGTAAACTGATTGCTAAGTATATGATTTAATAGCTTAGTGAAAATCCATCTGGAAGAGGATGAGACTAGACGTAGGAGGATTACATCACCTCCAAACCAGGATATATCATGTGTCATTATTTCAAATCACACACCAAGTCCTACAACTAGCTACACTAATACAAACCTAGTTTATATACCCAGCTAAAGTTGAACAGCCTTCTCTATCGTTGAAACATGTCCTAATCAACTACTTATACACTCTCATCTAAAGATAAATTACATTACAATAACCTTCTTTGAAGTCATAAACAAAGGAAAATCAGCCTAAAATAAATTAGCACTCTCAACAATAGTCTAACAACTGCTTACTGTTGACATTATTGTTTAGACGGCTGATCAACCTACCGATAGTTTGAACGCAACTTGATCACACAACGCAACTTCATCACACAGACTTTCTACCATTCCATACATCACAGATCCCAAAATCACTTGATGTCTGGTTACTATAAATAGAAAGTCACTACTTCTATAAATAGTGTGTATATTTACCCTGATAAAAAGTCAAGACTTCCACTGCTCATTTTATAACCTCTCAAAAGGTCAAAGAATCAACTCCTCAAGAGGGAAAAGGACTCAAGAGCCAAAAAGGTTAAAAAGTCTATTCACTCCCCTCTATACTTATACCTCACCAGGGACCATCAGATGACCCAGTTTTTCGGCTTATGAATTGTGTAATAATCAGAAAAAGTAAGGATGTTTTTACTTGGACTGTTAGCAGTCCCAGATCAGACTAGATCAGACTTAAACAAACCAGACCAGACCAGACCAGACGTAAACAGACCAGATCAGACTTAAACATACCAGACCAGGCTTGACTTCCGTAGTTATAAAATACACAGAGACCAGGTGTTTACCAGACCAGAATTAAAAAGACCAGACTAGACTTAAACAGATCAGACTAGCAAATTACAGTCCAAGTAAAAACATCTTGAAGTTGAAGTTACTTTTCTAGCTGTATTTAGGGGTGAACATTCGGTCGGTCGGTCAAATAATCGACCGATAACCGAATAACCGACAAAGTTTTTTCACTCTAAAAACGTAGTTCGGTTTCCGTCGGTAACCGAATAACCTACAATAACCGACCATATAAATTTCTTAAGCATGTTTTTCAAAAATTTGAATGCTTTAAATAAACATATTAGAAGAGATATTTGA